CTTTTTCAGCATTCCAACCGGCTTCTTTTTAATTCCTTTCTTAGTACCCAATGAACAGTATCTAGTTCGACTTTACAGAATTGTTCAGTGCCAATGGGAGATGTATTAGCGGCCCATACAGACCAGCACGTTTACTGCGTTGCCACATAACTTACTGAATGTAATTAGCAATGAATGGAATTATTTGTTCAAAATTTAATAACGCAACATTTCCGTACAATTTACGTATAAAATTCAACCTAAAATCTCACAGCAATTTAAATTTTTAAAAGAAAATTATTTAACAATGAAACTTAGTAAAATATAATTAAGAACCTAAAATATTGTAAGCCTACAATTTAAATATATTAAAAATTAATGATATTTATTTCTTAATAAATAGGAATAGAAATCAATTTTGAAATCCCAATTCAAAAACAAACTTACTCATATAATCATGAAGGAAATCCTAATTAAACTAATAATCACTTCTGAATATTTCAAAAGACGTTTCTTAACCACAACAATTACGCATACTTCTTTCAAATTTAATAAATAAAGTGAAAATTTAATTTGAATTTGACATTGACCGCATTTTTAATTTTTATTTTTTTTTGAATCATCAACAAAAAAAAAATCACTCTATTCAAATCGTAAAATGGCATTTTAAATGGAAAAAACATCTTTAATCAGAAGAAAGAATCTTTAATCTATAATCAAAATAATTTTTAATGTCATAAATCAACATTTTATTGTTATTCTTTTCAATATAAGAGTAAATATGTTTTGAAAATCATTCATTCGTTATACTCGTATACTTTTATTATACATATAACAAAATTTTTTTTATATCCCCGAAAAATATTGTTATACATAAAATATATATCAATATTTTAATAGTTTTATTATATTTATTATTGCTATAAGTATGAAATTTAAATGTTAGCTTAATGATATCATCTAAAAATTAAATATCGTTTGTTTTTATAAGAATTGTTATTATAAAATTTATTAATTTATTATAAAGTTGTTATTGTATTTGAAATGTTAAATAAATTAGCAATCATACATCATACATCATGCATATCATACAACATACATATAAATACAATAAGTTTATCATACATCATACATTTCGAAACAATAAATCATACAAGTCGCCACACAAATCATACATTCTCATCATGCGTCATACAAAGCAACACGTACATTATACAAGTCGACACGTAATAATACGACTTAAATATTGTAATATATCATACATATCAATAAACAAATCATACATCTCGTCTTATACCATACATATCGTCATATATAAAACATATTGAAACGTAAATCATACATAAATGTCATCATACGTTATACTTATCATTTAAGAAATCATGCATCTCGTCTTATATCACACACATCGTCATATATTAAACATGTTGAAACGTAAATCATATATATAAATATCGCCATACATATAAATAAACAAATCATACATTTTGTTATACATAACACAAGTCGATACATATAAACAAACAAATTATACATCTTGTCATACATCATGCAAGTCGATACGTACATGCTTATACAAGTCGAAAAGTAAATTATACATAAATATCGTTATATGTCACACATATCATCAAACAAATCATACTTGTCGCCATACATAGAACTTGTCGAAACGTAAATCATACTTAAATATCGTTATACGTCATACACATCAATTTATTTTAACCTAAATTATAGTTAAAATTACATTTTTTATCAATCTAATAATTTTAATAATACCATTGATTTTCTGTTTTGTGAATCCAACAATATTACAGTCAACATTGAACCATTCTATCTATATAACACTTTTATTATTCTGGATAACAATTGATATATCGTTGCTTATATTGTATTTACTTCAACAAATTATAGATTTTATGGCTAGATATCCTATAATAGAGTTAAGTGATAATTCCAAAATTTATTCATTTCATTTTCAAAATATTTGTACCAACTGAATTTACCATAATAATATTTTCTATACATACATACATAAATATAAATTAAATTGAATTATTGTTATTATTGAATATTAAAAATTGTTATATGAAATAATTTTTCGACTCAAAATCATTTTCAAACATTTCGTACATAAAAAGAAATTTTCTGAATTGGATTTATTGTACGAGTATAAGAATTCAGGAAATAAAAAATTAAAATAATATTTTTAATAATAACATTCAGAATTTTTTTTTTGAATATTAAGAATTTATTATACTCGTATATATTTAAATATTAAAGATCTTGTATAACAAATTTGATTTTTTTGGTTTTTTTGATTTTTTTTTTTGTCAGGTCGAGGTCATCTTTTTAAAATTTTATAAATACAAGCCTGTCTATATATGTACATAATGAATATTTTTCTTATTAATTGAATTTACACACATACACGCATACAGATACATGCGGAAGATATGGTAAATTCTAGATAATAAAATTTCGCTTTTATAGTATAATTAAAATATGCCCTAGATTTTTAAATTTAGAAATTGGATAAGCCACACACACACATGCAAAACACTATATGGAATGCTTTTAATATTTTGTAGTAAAATATGTAAAATGAGTAAATATTACAAAAACAAAAATTTTAAATTGTTTTCTTATCTTTTTACACGTTTATACTTAGTGTTATAAAAATAAATTATTGAATTTTTTTGAGATTTTCTAAATTAATGTTAATATGTAGGTACTTACAATCGCTTATTTATGAGAACTAGACTTCCAAATTACTCGTACGCACAATTATTCATACAATATTGAAAAATTGGTGTTTCAACAAAAAAAATTTGGAACATTTATGATTGAAATCTAAAATAGCTGTGTGTACCTACGTGTGCATATTTAAAAATCAGAAATTTCATAATTTTTAAAAGTGTTCTATTTCAAAATTTTCAACAATTTTTAAAGATATTTTTAAAATGTTTAGAATTTTTGAAAATTTTGTAATTTCATGTAATTGTGTTTACATTAAAAATTTTTTAACTTATCGCATTACACGTAATGCATTCCAAATATTGTAATTTTTCTTTTTTAAAATATTATGCAATTACGCATTCTTAAAATATGCCTTGTGCTGAGTAACTGAATAAAAAATTTTTTGTATACTAGGAAGTATTTTAAATTGGGGATTATTAGGGTACCTTGTATCAAATACGAGTACAGCATAATTTTTTTCCCGAACACATAAATTTTTATTCCCGAATCACGAATTACAGTTAATTCTTAAATGAGTAAGATCAACTTCAGAAATGCAGTAATATGGTACTAATACACAATTCAGCTTATAAAAATGAATTGCTGAATTTTGTAATAATACAATATTATTGCATTTTGGAAGTCAAGGTATTTTGATTACTACACAATTAATTGAAATTTAAATTTAGAGTAAATAATTAGCGAAACAAAGTGGTAAATAATTTTTGAACTAAAATTCACCTTTTATTTGAATCCAATCTTATTCAATTTTTATTCAATTATTAAAAAATTTAACAACTGAACTCTGAAATTCTCACCCTACCTCTCCCTACCTCTCACTCTTACTCACCATACCTCTATGATCCAAAAAAAAAATTCCCATAAATATTTTCTCAGTTTTTTTTAATTTTCATTTTCAAAGAGTAAATAAGTACTTACTCTCAGTCTAAACTTGAAATATAATACATTTTTAATTCGCCTACTCTTATCCAAGTGTTAAACTTTTCCTTTTTAAAAATTCTCAATAAAATTTACCTATAGTAATAAAAATAAAAAAAAAAAACTTAACCAATCAATATAAATTATAATTAATTGTTTTTAGAAAAACTTTTTTATAAAATTTAAATAAAATATTTTGTGTTTTTCTCTGTAAACTTTCAAACCTCCTTCAAAATCACAAATTAAAATTTATATTATGAGGATAAAAATTTTTTTTGGAAATTTATTTTAAGAATTTTTCCTTTTTTTTTTTTTAAATAAATCTTGGGTATAAGTGTAGAGTTCTTATTACTTTTAAATCCTATGATATTGAAAATTTTATGTTCTATAAGGAGCAGAATATGTTCCATGGAGAGAATGAGAATTTATGGATTTTTTGTTACAGAAAACAAAAAGGATTTTTAAATCATTCTGAAAATAAGGAAAATAGCATGTTGGAGGCACAGTACTGAACGTTCCGTTCCTTGTATAGGAAGGGTATACGACATATACTGATATCAAATATGATATTAAAATACTCTCTATTAAAATACTCTCTTAAAAAAATGAGATATTAATATAATTATATGTAAAGGCAACTGTTGTACCAATAACATTTACTGTTTCAGAAAGAAATAGAACTAATTCTAAAAGAGCTCTATATTGAAATGTGGAACAATTAATAAATACACAATTATTTCTAGGGTGTTTTTAATCTACATTTATGTAAATAGAGGTGCCACAAAATTCTTTTATTAAATTTTTTCTTAAAATCTTACATTATAATTTAGTTTTGGAAATATAACTTATATATATATGTACACATAAATTACTTATGTTAAGTGGATGTAAAACTTGAAATTAACTTAATTATTTGTTTAAAATTTTACATATACATACATACATAATTATTTATTTTAAATATATAGATTTATTAATTTTAAATTAATATTTTAATATTGTGTGTGTGTACGTGTGTTGTCACTTATTCTAAATTGCACTTAATATTTTTCACATAATTGAGGTTCTCAGGACATTAATAGTCTATATTTGCAAAAATTACATTTCGAGTAAATTGCGATTGAAATATTTAAGGAAATTTTTAAGGAAATTTTGTAAAGACAAAAACGAACTTATGTCAAAATTGAGTGAAAATAGGAGTAAACTAAGTATTTTAAAAATATAGAAGAATTCTTCAGTCCATTACAGCTCTATTGAATATAATAACTCATTTTTGTAAAAATGATTTTAAATAGGCCACTAATGTGCTGAGCGCCTCAATTGTAAACAACGTAATTAATTTATTTTTATTCAATTGCACTTGCATTAATATCATGTATTGAAATATTTTTACTCTCAAAATTTTCACTGCTATCATAATTACTGTTACAAGTATTATTAACATTATTTAGAGAATTTTCATTAAACTGTTGTTCCTCTATATTTTCAATAGTAATTGATTTACTTGCATTCAATTTATTATTATAATTTGAATCAAATTTTCTTAATGATGATTTTAATATTTTAATTTCTTTTTCAGCTCTTTGAATATCTGGTTGAAATTTATCTGATAAAAATTCTGGTGTTATAAATTTTTTATTATAAATTTTTTCTTTTCGTAATGTTGGTCCAATTTTTAATGCAATCTCTTCAAATAATTTATTTAATGAGATTGCTTCTTTTAATAATATTAATATTGCATTACGTTGTAAATTATTCCATTGTAAATTATTATCATTATATTTTGTTATTGTTGATGGCAATATTGACGACAGTGGTTGTATTGGTTGCTGTCCTCTTAGAGAAGAAGATGATGATGATATTGATTTATTCTCTTTATATTGTTGTAATAGTTTTGTAGAATTTTGTGTTATTGTTGAAATTTTATTATTTTTTAATCTATTATTTATTAATATGATTTTATCTTCATTATCATGATAATAATTATTATGAAAAGATAAATGATCAAATATACTAAAACTCCAATATGAATATGTTAGATTTTCTATAATATTATAAAATTTTAATGGTAACATTTTATTTTGTATAATTTCTAATTCTTTATCAGAATATTTTTTAATTGTATTATCTTTAAGTATTTTATAATTTTTATTATTTAATAATAATTTTTCACTTGATTTTTTAATATTTTTTAATTGATCCTGAATTTTTTCATAATTTTCAATAAAATTATATAATTTTTTACCATTATTATTATTTTGATTATATTTTAAAAAATCATTACAAAATTCATTAAAATTTATATTTAAATTACGTATTGTTGGTGTTTGTGTACCAAAATTTTTTATTGATATTTTATCTGTTTGTAATATTTGAGTCATTGTTAATAAAAATTGTTCTGGTCTATCATTACGAAATATTAATCTACCATCAGTTAATATTTCAACATCTTTTTTCCATATTAAATCATTTTGAATATCATTTGTTGCATCTTTCATAATAATTGTCGGAACAAAGTCCGTTTGACTACCAACACCATTCTTTCTCATTCGTCTTGAAGCATCCAATAATTTTGCTTTCATTAATGTTTCTTTATCGGGTTTTGGTAATGTTGATAGGCTCACCGGTTGCCATGGTGGCCTTTTTTCCTCTTTTTTACTAATTTCTTTAATTTTTTTCCAATTACCACGAGCACGATTAAAAATTGTTATTGTACTATCACTACTAATTGGATTATTTGTGATATTAATATTATTTTTATTACTAGTAGTATTACTACTGCCGCTACTATTACTACTTTCACTATTGCCACTACTACCACTAATATTACTACTATTTGATGAATCTGTGAATATATTATTATAAAAAAATATAAAATATTAATTATTATTAATATATTTTTAATAATTACCACTATTAATAGTACTTGTACTATACTCTGAACTTAAATCATCAATTTCAGTTGTTGTAGTTGTAGTAATTGTAGTATCCAAAATTTTATTTAATTTTTTCTCTTCTAAATCAACAATATTGTGTTGTTGTTCGGTTGATGTTTTAAATCTAAATGATTCCTTTTTGTAATTTGATATATTAGTTTCGGTTACGTAATCAGTTTCAATCATTTCTATTATTTTTTTTTCTACTGTTTTAATAGTGTGTTTTTAGAGTGTAAATAAATATAAAATATAAATATACTGCAGTATACTACAAATTTTATGTAATGACGAAGTCAATAATGGTTGTTTTAGAAAACCAAAAAAAAAATTTCAAAATTCAAACACACAAATTTATGTTAAATTCAAATTAAACTTTCATTTCTTGTTTTTTTTTTTTTCCGATTAGGTCGATCTGATATTTTTTTGATTCCAATTTTTTTTTAGTTTTTTATTTTTATTTGATTTTTGTTCGCCTTGTGATTTGAGTAGTTTAAAATATTGTTAAAAATTTAAAAAAAAAAAAATCTTATATTTCAGGGATATTTTCTTTTTAGTAAAATTTTACAAACAACCAATTACCTTGTACAACTAAACGATATTTAAAAATAAAAATCGAGTTCTTACAATTCCGTATGAATATTATGATTGGTTATATAGCTACATATTTAAATATTCAATATTAAGTATTTTTTTTTAAGAAAAAGAATATCAGGCAAAATATTTAGAAAAAAAAACAAATATTTTAGAATTCGATACCATTCAATCGAATGGTACCGATAAATCGTGTAAGTGTATAGAAATGTTCTTCGGATTACATATGTACGTAAAAATTCTATATATTGTGCTTAAAATATATCACACCATCAAAATAATACTGCCACAATATAAAATAATAAATGTAACCGAATAAGAGGTGATACTGAGAGTAAAATGTACTCTTTATAGTCTTACATGAGAAATTGTGAGAACTCTCAATAATTTTAATTACCGAACTGTTATTAAATTACTGGATTTAGTTAACAAAAAAAAATTATCTGTCAAATTACTCTCTTCATCTTTCAAATTATTCTATTCATCTGTCAAATTATTCTCTTCATCAGTTAAATTACTCTCCTCATCTTTCAAATTATTCTCTTCATTTGTCAAATTACTCTCTTCATTTGTCAAATTACTCTCTTCATCCGTCAAATTATTCTCTTCATTTGTCAAATTTTACTCTCTTCACCTGCCAAATTATTCTTTTCATCTGTCAAATTACTCTCTTCATCCGTCAAATTATTCTCTTCATTTGTCAAATTACTCTCTTAATCCGTCAAATCAAATTAGTAACTTTATATAAAATCTTTTGCTATTACTTTAAAAAATTTTATTTGATATTGAGAAAAATATAAATGAATGCGTGCAATTGCATATCATTACGCACTTGCTGCATCTCCTGGTAACTTAGAATGCTGATTTCGCTCTCATTTCTTTTGAATTTGTAAAATGGCGTTGCAATAATTAGATTACTTAAATATATGCTAAACAATTTATTTATGAATATTTCGCTTTAACTTAGTTTTAATTCATAAATGTTCTTAAGTTTTTAAAAATCTTGAAATTCTGAATTGTGGCTCTCTTTTTCTATAGGGGTGCATTATACATATACATTCAAAGATTTATTATTTTATTGTTTAAAATGCAATTCCATAAGAAAATCCTTTACAAAATTTTCTATATAAGTATTTTATTTTTTTCCTTCTATTATTCTTTCTCATAAATAATGCAATTTTATTGTACTCTTTAATCTGTATAACACTTTTGTATATTATGTTATAAATGGAATGATATGAAAATAAAATATAATGCATATTTTTCCAACTTACATATTTATAGACTCTTCAAAAAAATATTCAACGATATCGTCATACGTATGTACATATTTTTATACATTATAAATTTAGAATTTTAGAAAATTTATAAAAGATTATGAAATAAAAATGAAAATTCAAATATGTATAATATATATTTTTGTTTCCAAGGATATAACAGTTAGTACTACATATAAGTATTCTATATAGAATTTTAAGTACACGTAATAACGTACACACATTTGAAAAGAATTAAATTACAATGTGAATTATACATTCACTTGGTTCTACATTCTGCAATAATTTTGGCATTAAAAATTTTAATATTCGTAACTGGAATATAAAATATAACAGATTACAACACAGATAAATGGCACTTTCAAGGAAAATGGGTATGAGCACGCGTTTAGTTTAAAGTTATAATACTCGTAGAAGAAGAATCCCTACTTAGGCTTCGTAACCTACGTAAATGTTCAGGTCGCCAAAATCAATTGTTAAGACAGTATACCACAGTTCACAGTGGAAGAAGAGTAAAACCAATTTGCATACCCTGCTACTCTAATCAAAATGTAAAGCCATCTACCGGAAAAATGTTCGTGATTATTTTTGTCATCTACATTTTTAAATAGACTGGTGTACTAGAATGTATTTGAGAGTAGAAAGGCGTCGGAATTGCAAACGATTGGAACGTTACCAATATAATTAGAGAGGGTATTATTTCAATATTTGAAATTTTTTTCATTTAAGCATGCGAGACTGTGAGAGTATTTTCTGTGCTTAATATTTATTTTGTGGGTATTTCTCTATTTTTCTTTTTGTATTTTTAATGATTTGTTGTGAATGTAGGGTACTCTTTAATTTGGTAGTATCGTTATATTCGTAATACTCTCTTTATTGTGTTTGTGTATAGTCTTGAAGAAAAAATTATTATGAAAGTGGTGTACACTCAGAGAATTTTTGTGTGTAAAATCAAATCAATAATTTAAATATATTGTTTTTTTTTTCAATAATCGTATAACAAATGAAAAAAATATGAATTTAAAATGAAAGACGAACAATTACGCAAAATTTTAGTCTATTTTCCAACAAAAAATCATTTAAATTTAGTATATATATTTTAGTATATGAATTTCCTTCCACATATATATATGTATAAATATATTAAATTATTTAAATTTCATTAAAAATTAATTAATAACAAATATTTTTCTTCTTTTTCTTTTCAGGTATGTTGATTTCTACCCCCATTATTGAGAAATTTTTCCCATATTACCCAATCACAGTTTAAAATTTAATTATTATTAAAAGGATTAACCTATTTTAAATACTCTTGTATTTGTATACATATACGCACGTATGTATTAAAAATATATAAAGAGGCTCAAATAAAAAATGGTACCTTTAAATTTATTTAAAAATATTTTTATATATTAGGTAAAATAATTATGTAAAATTGATCAACAAATCACATATTTTTTTTATTTTATTCTAAAAATTTGAAATTGAATTTTAATTATGGAAAGTTATGAAAATGAAATAAATATGATATTTAATTTTGGGTGTATAAAAATTAAAAATTATTAATTTCCCGTGTATACCTTGATTTAGAAGAATTCGACGCTAAGTATAACAATACGCTAAGTATAACAAAAGCTTTTCTTCCTTCCTGTTAGTGTACTAAGAACTGCATAACTTAACAGCATCGTCCAGATGTGATTAATTCGGTAGACTTAAGATTCATATATATAGGATAGGTAATGTTATACTATGGCATTCTTGGTAATTATCGAAAATATGGAAAATTTAGGACATTCTGTTGGCGATTAGATCAGAAACAATATTTGCATTAATTAAACAACTTGAATGCCATAACGTCATGTCTTCGAACCATCTGAAAATAGCCAAAAATATGATAATTTTCGAGAGGCTTTGGCGATCTCTGACAGAATCCATAAACAAAACTTGTAGCATACGTACATCGAGACCTAGCCCCTAAATAAAAGCACAATATTTTTCATCTATTAAAATAAAACATAAAATTTGCGTAAAATCTTATTCTTTAGAATCTTTGCTTTTTAAATTGAAATTAAATTTACTTTTAAAATGAAAAATTAAATTTACTTTTAATATGAAAATTTAAATATTCAAATGAAATCTGCCGCGTATGTTTGTGAACATTTATGGGGAAAACAAAAAAGTTAATAAAACGTCAAAAATTTTAAATTTGTTTTTATGAGCAAAAGAAGTTTAAAAAGAAGAAAACCTTCTGGCAATAAAAAAACTTCCATTAAAAAAAAATCATCAAAAGTAAGTAAAAGAACAAAACTAAAAGATTGTTGAAATTATTAATGAAAAATAATAAAGAAATTTCTGACTGACAAATTTGTTCTTAGTCGGCCGTCCGCCCTTTCTCTTCTTTTGATGGCTTCGTTAAAAATGAAAAAAAAAAAATTATTATAAAATGTTTTTAAATCTCTAAGAGGTAAAAAAAATTTAGAATTTAAAAGCCTAATCGTGTATATCACCTTGTTCTGTGCAGTACTCCCTAATTGTATACCCCGCTTTTTTAATCTCTTATCTCGTAATCATGTATCCCGCTTTTTCAGTTTTAGAATTATCGTTTTTCTTGTACGGTACGTTTTTCTAGTATGGAACTTATTGTATTGTGTATAATTCAGTATATCACTTATATAAATCATTTTAATTCCTCGTTGCATTCCAGTATAACATCCTAATTGCCTCATGTTCTGCGGTTCAAAAGAATAGTCCTTATTAATATTATAATGCAAATCGTTTGATAATAGTAAATTTATTTATATTAAGCCACATTTTTGTAAAACGAATTATGTATAACAGAACAGCATAACATAACTTTGTATAATAGAAATTATGTATAACAGATATTATGTGAATCAAATAAATTTTTTAATTCTGAGTTAATATTAGTTTCGAGTGTAA